CACCTTCATTTTAAGAAAATGTGAACAGATTACCCACAGAGCTTGAATCTCCCCAAGGGCAGAACCCATCCAGGACTTGCTTCTCCTCTTGCGAGCTGAAGCAAGTCTGCCTCCCAAAACCATTGCTGCTGCCTGCCATTGCTTGAGCCTCCTCCAACAAATCCTCTAACAATCCGCTTCCACCACTGGACTCGCCCAAATTCTGATACTCGTTAGTGCTGTTAATGTCACCACCATTGCCATCGTTTACTCTATAACTGAATGTAATCTCAGGATTACTGTCTTGAAACAAAAATTGGCTTCAAGGGAGCTCCGTTCTTAACGGATAAACATAGTCGGGAATAGAGGCGAGCTGTCCCAAATCCAAATGGGAGCCAACTGTTCTTAATGATGTAGATGGATCGAAACAAAATGGTTTCGAGGCGAAGGAAGGATAGTGAGTGGAGATGGGCATTGAAGTGGCAGCAGTGGTATGTCCAAAAGAAGAGCTTCTCAACAAAGGTGAAAAAGGGAAGGCAAAGCTGGAGGTGGTTGAGCCGCTGGTGGCGGTGGCATTGGCAGGGTTAAAATTAAAGCTACTGTTGTTGCTATTCTCGCAGTCGAGTTGACGGTGAAGCCGCTTGAATCGAGGAGGGGTCTGGAGGAAAGGTGGGGTTCTGGGTGAGAAGAAGCTGGAATTAGTGGTGGAGGTGGAAGGGTTGGATGCGGAGGCGGAGAAATCGAAGAGAGGGAGAGTTGGGTAGACAGGGGTGTGCGGGGAGGGGAGCGGGGAGGCGTTCGGCGGAGTTGGGTTGAGAAGCATAGGGGTGGTTGTGTGGTGCGAGCTGTTGAGAGTGGTCGGAGTTGTGCAGTGTGAGCTGTGGAGAGACGGCGGCGTTGGGGTGGTGGGGACGTGAAGGGTTGGCGTTGTTTGGAAGGAGAAAGCGGTGGGTGTAGTCGGGGCGGAGGAGATGGATGTGGCGGGCTCCGAATGTGTTTGGTAATGGGGAAAATGTTGGTTCTGCGGCGGCGACGACAACTGGTGGTGGTTGACAGGTTGGATGTCCGGAGGATAAAGGGGGAGGCTTTGGTGCTGCCGTCGCTTCACTCTGGTGTTTCAGAAATTTTTTATTTCGTTATCAGTTCGCCCGGAAGCTGCATGAATTACCCAAAAAAAAAAAAAGTTTAAAATTTTTTTTCAAAAAATAATAAAATAGAACAATTAAAAATTTTCAATTCAAGCTTTTAAATTCAGAAAATGTTTTCTCCATTTTTTAGAAAATCAATTTAAAAAACAAAAATACGTTTTCATAGCAGGAAAAATCTGCTTGAGATGAGATTTTTAAGCAAAAATACTAAAAATAATAATTTTCCAGAGTTTTAATTTAGTTAAATGTAGAAAAACAACAACTAAAAAATTCAGAAGAAACTAATAAGACCAATATGAAAATCATTTGATTAAATAAGAAAATTCTGATTCAGAATAAAAAGCGCATAATTTTATAATCGTTAAATTCCAAAGAAAATATAGAGAAAATGGAAACAGGGGTGAAAGGGAGAATTAGAATCAGAGAATTTACGTAGAACAATGAGTTTTGAAGGATGTGACAATGGCGAACCTGAGTGGCCATGCGTGCCCACTTGTTGCCAAGCTTGGCCTGGAGCTCGACGATGATCCTTTCCTCCTCCGGTGAGAAAGCGCCTTTCTTAAGGTTGGGACGCAAATGGTTAGCCCACCTGAGCCGGCAGCTCTTACCGCAACGCGCCAACCCGGTGTTCTTCTGCACGGCATTCCAGTTCCCTAGCAACGCAAAACTAGCGGCAACATGATGTTGTTACTGTTACTGCCTGCCGTCACCAGGGAAGAAGACCAAACTTAAATATTAGTTTTGAAATTCAAAAGTTAATGCTATAGGGAAGATGAAGAGATTAG